TGGTTTTTTCCCATATAAAAATACATGGAAAACTTTGAGCGCTTTGAGCGACCTCTAAATATTTTCTGATTTCAAAAAAAAAAATAAGGGTATATTTTTATCGGTATATAAAAATCCTAGGGAGTGAGAGTATAAAAATTCCGACTTTACTTTTTCACGTGCACTTTTGGACCACCCTAATGAGTGTATGTATAAAAAATATATGTATGTATGTACTGCAAATACTCCACAATGGGAAAAGCTGTTTTCTCACATTCTGCTGCAATAATTTGTGGTGTCATTTGCTCACAACTAATTAATCGCTTCCGCCAAATGTTAATAAATAATCCAGCTAAAAAAGTGTATAAGTCATTGATACAGTTGTGCCCATTGTCAGCGACATTAATTTAACGCGATTTAGCGATTAAAAAGAAATTCCTTATCGACCATTTATGAGAAAAAAAAAACAAAAAAAAACAAATCATTGTAATTAATGCACTTCCGCTACAGGCGAGCGACGCATCTTTTGATTGCACACGCCGACAACGGTAATTCTTCTAGCGCATTCTGCAAAAACTAGTATGCCCGAGAACAGCTGTCAATTGATTACTTTGCTTTTTTTCTTCTGGTTTTAAAATCTCACATCAATTTCGCGCATTTCTGGTTTATCTCCACAGACCGATGAGGATGACATCATTGGAACGCGATCAGCGTGACAATTTAAAGTATGGCGCATTTTTAACTCTATTAAAATACGTAAATGCCAAAAATTGATTTCGATATCGAGTGGAGATAAGAAAACTTATGTATGTGGTTAGCATATGTATGTATGTATGTATGCATTTACTCGTGTGCACACATTCAAGTTCGCTAATGGATTTTTTTGTGCTAAACTTATTTCTGTTTATTTTTCTTTACGGTTTGAAAATAGCACTGCTAATTCTTGTTGCATGACTCATCGCGAGCGCAGCATCCGAATAGGCACTTCCCAGCGGTGAATCCACCTTGCACTATACTCTAGGTTGAAAATAGTATAGTATAATTGACTCATTGATTGGGTATACTTACTTCAAGGATAACAAACAAACCGATATTACATTTGCTCTAAACAGATATTTGCTCTAAACAGAGCTACTCAGAAAGCTCCCCAAGGAGAGGCTAAGAATTAGGCTACTTGCATAAGCTGGGGATCTCCTTCTCGCATATGAGTCTATGAGTCTGTTTGTAGGAGAAAAGAGAGGTCAATAGGACATCTATGGCCAAGAGAAGAGCACATACACTCCACACCCCTTGATTTATTAAAAAAAATTTAGACTTTAGCGCTAGATGCAGTTTTGTGATGAGCTGAGGGCACAATAGACCTACTGGGCCCACTCTACTTACATATATGTATGCATATATATATCTAACAAACTCTTTGGCAAGGAGTGCGATCAAAAGCACCTGGCAACGTTCGTACTGTGCGGTCACTTAAACTCTCGCTTGAAAGAATTTCCAAAGTTTATCTCGTTTACAAAGTGCTAAGCAGTTCTAATTTGTGTTATTCACACCG